AGAGATAGCAAAATCAATACTACAGACATTAGGAAGTGCACTGGAAATCAAACCTTCCTGCTTTCAGACTCCCCATTATGATAAGGATAGCCACTGTCTATATGGATGCACACACAACATTTGCCCTGGCATTACACTTCATGATTCCAAAAGGCTTCTCTACCACTCCATACTTTACATGTTAAATAAAAATCACAGTAGTATAACCATAGAAAGCAAAAATGTTTGTGGTGTCTTAAAGTTTACTAAAAGCAATGATGATTAGAATTAATTTCCAGACCTAGAGTACAGCTGAGGGGTAAAGTCCTAGTGTATGAAGACCATGGTTTCATCTTGAGCATCCTGGAAAAATACTGAGAAGAAGGGGTGATGGCTCAGTCAGCAAAGCAAGGACCTGACCTTGAATCTAAGCTCAGTGGTGACCTGCCTCAGTAACCCTGGGGCTGGGGGCAGGGACTGGTAGACCCCTGAAGTCCACTAGTCAGCCAACCTAGCCAAAGCGTTGAAACTGCAGGTTCAGTGAGAGACCCTGTCTCAAAAAAGACTGGAGCGTGACTAAGGAAAGCACCTACTGCCAGCTTCTTGCCTCCATACTCACACAAGTACACGTGCATCCACAAGCATGACCTCTAGTACACACACATACATGGGCACACAAGAGCACACATGCATGCGTGCGTACGTACACACACACACACACACACACACACACACACACACACACACACACACACACACACTGTGCCATTCTAAAGTAATAAGAAAGAGCTCTCATTTCTCAAAGGGCAGGAGATGGCAGAGGCTTTAGTTAGAAAGCTCCTTTCCCAAGTAGCTACATGTGCCAGGGAGTCCCAAGAATACACTAACCCTGACCAGTAAACAGAGAAATAGGAAAGTCAAGGGGTAAGAAACATTCCAAAGCCTCTCGCTGGAAAAAAATTAATAAATAATTTAAAAGCCACTGACAGCAATATGAGGTGTTTTTATTATGGCGTTCTTCCCCCTCTGCTAATTGGATAAGGATCTTTCTTGGAAATTTGCCAACATGTAGTTTCATGCTAAATCTACCGCTGTTTAATTTGTAAGGGAGGAGGTAAATGACTCAACAAAGCATCACCTGTTAATATTTAGGGGGAAGACCACTGTTTGTGACACCACATTGTGGCAATGCAGTCTTACACACTGCTTACCAGTTTGGCTAAGTGCCCCCTGCTGTTTTTCATGTGACCAGTCACAGGCTGGCACACAGGGATACTGACTGAATAAGGAGGACCAGGGAGTCAGGGAAATGACTTAAGTTTCCACACAGATTAAATAACCCAGGCCAAGGTAAACATCCACTGCAGGTGAAATCTCAGGTGAAAAGCAGTGTCTAACAAGCCACTCTCCACGTCCTCTGGAAAGGTAGCCAGCAACAGAACTGAGTGATATCTGAGACAACTCTGAGAAAGGCAAGATTCCCTTCCCTCCTTCCACCTCTCATACCCAAATAAAGTATATAAATTATAAAGAACCCCAGAATCCCACAGAAACCTACTCTCAGAGGTCTACCAGACTCAGCATCATGAAGGCCTGTGCCTGCAGGCCCTAAACTCCACAGTAGACATATATACAGTCATCCTACTTGATGATCCATCTGCCTTTGCCCCTAAAGTCCAAGTGCCCACTACAAATTGACAATAGTCTACAACATTTTAAAATCATGCACCATGGGCAGGCTCTAATGGATTCAGAAGAAAAATACTTAGAGCTCTTTGCCAACTGGCTAGCAATGTTTCTTCCCAGGTGCTTTCTCAATAAGAAAAAAAAAAGGTGAGGGGGAGTTCTTTTCATGGCTGAAAAACAAAAAAATATGGAATGAGACAGACAGAGATATAGAATGATAGATATGAAATGTTTTATGGTACTGACAACATATAATTTAAGATTTATTTATTTTATTTGTATTGGTGTATTGCCTACATGCATATTTGTGCACCACCCATATGCCTGGTGTCCATGGAGGCATCAGACTCACTAGAACTATAGTTAACAGACTCTAGTTGAGAGTCACCACGTGAATGCTGGAAATCAAACCTGGCTCTTCAGCAAGAATGTTTAATGCTCTTAAGCACTGAGCCATCTCTCTGGCTCCCAGCATATAATTTTGTCAAGATTAGTAAATTAATAACTGAGAAGTTAAGCAAGACAAAAACCAAAAACACAAAGGCAGTTACCCACTACCTTTCTGTATCCTCTGTGAGGACATAGTGTCATCTAGGGGCTTGTATTAACCTAGGCTTTTCCCTTGGGAAAGTGTGGCATGGGACAACATAGAATACTATTCTGTTCAGTAGAGAAAAGTCTCATTGGGTATATCAGAATTTCTAAAAAGGAAAATATAGTCAAGGTTGGGTACCAATATGATTATTTGCAATGTGAGAAGATAAAAATTGGTCAAGAGTGAGTGGATCATAAATCAGAGAAGGCTATATAGTAGGATATGTCACATTATTTAAAATATTCTCTAATAGCTGGGCGTTGGTGGCGCATGCCTTTAATCCCAGCACTCGGGAGGCAGAGGCAGGTGGATCTCTGTGAGTTCGAGGCCAGGTTGGACCGACAGCCTCCAAAACAGAGAAACCCTGTCTCATAAAACCAAAAAAAAATTCTCTAATAAAATCCAAATAGAAAATCTTAGTAGTAGTAGAGGGAAAATGTAGGAATACTGAGTAGCAGATATGCAGAGATAACATGGCAGAGTATATGTGTGCGTTCGAATGTGTGTGTGTGAGTATGTAAATGTACATGTGTGCGCGTGTGTGTTTCACTGGTATCCTGGTCCAAATACTAGTCAATTCCAACCCTACTTAGCTCCAGAGATCTGAGGAAAGCCTGCTTGCAGTGGTGTGGCTATCCACCATTGACTTATCAATGAGAGATGCTGGCTTTGGAGACACAGGTGATTTTACATTAGTCTAGTCTTCTGGTTTCCCAGGTGTTCCCAGTGACAGATACATATTATTTACTGCCAAGGCAGAAGTGCAATTGGTTAATTATTCTAAGCATCTCAATATGCCCCTTGCATGCCTTCCTCTGCGGCAGAAGTGGGAAGGATGATGATCACTCCCTAGAGCTTCAGCAAGAAAGAGTCTGCACTGCATGCAAATGAGTCTGCTATCTAAATTCATTGGTGGGAAATTTCAGATTCCAATGGCAGTAATTAAAGGGAAGCTCCTTGGTCCACTGCCACTCACAGCATCTGGAGATTCAGCCTCCATTTTGCAGGCAAGGCAAGCACCTGTGAGGACAGAATGATATCTAGTGTGGAGACTGCTGGAATGCGCCTGCTTAGAGACAGGTCTGATATGCACCAGGTCAGGCATGTTCTGTGAAATTTTCCAATAATATTTGAGAAAGACATTCTAAGTATTAAGCACATTCATGTTTGAAATATGATAAAAACAGATCTGTTTGCTATAACTACACCTAAGTCACATACCCAAGATACATACTAAATGAGTCACAGAAGCCTGGTTGTGCTCAGACCATTGGCCTGCCAAAATTGACTGGATGAAAGCCCACTTGAAAAAAATATTCTTTAATTATAAACTTCACTTGATTATAAATTTGTAAATACTTATATAAATTAATTCTGACAAAAATTAAATGCCATGAGGCCTAGTCAGAAAGTAAATTTTCCTTCTTTGGTCAGTTCACTTCAAGTTTCCTCAGGGCTCATGCTGGCTTCAAGGAGCAAGCAATCTAATGAGTTTCCTTGCAGAATCTTTCAGAGTAAGGCTAACAGCTAAATCAATAGGCACCAAGAACCCAAAAGTACACTGCCTTCCATGTTTGCCCTTTAAGACTCTTGTCAGTTTTTATTATTATATTATCACTGTTCTGGGCACTGAAACCTGGGTTGAGTTTGCTGTAAGGGCTCTGCCTCAGAGCTATACCTCTGGCTTCAGTCTTCTCATTTTAGATGTATTTACCCCATGGTTTTTATTTTCACTTGAACTAATACTAATAAAGACAAGAGAAAGTTGGAATGCAAAACAAAATTGAAAGAAACTTCGCTATGAGCTACCACACAGATGCACAGGATGAGTCAAGCAACCCTCAAGCTGTGCCCAGTTTGATATTAATGTGATTGGCACTATGTGGTAACACCTCCACAGCTCTCGTCACAGGCTGTGTGAAATTACTGGCTACAGTGAAACGTGTTCACAGAATCTTATTCTGCAGATACAACCATGAAAACATGCCTTAAAGCTCATTAGGTAAGAGAAAGGGATGTTGAGGTTCTCTGGGCATAGGAGATGAAGATCGCAGCAAACAGGATTACTATACTAAAGTGCAGGCACTGGACTCAGTAACATGTCAAGGAAGCAAGGTGCACAATGACAAGACAGCACATTTCCACTCCCCATGGGATCAGGATAAAACGATGAAAGAAACAGAATAAAATACCATGAAAGGCGCTTTTATACTTCTAAATCTATAATGGTCCAAGTCCCTTGATATACTTCCCAAGACAACACAGGTGTTTGCTTATCCATGTATAAATTATCTCCAGAAGGCCATGCAGAAAGCACAAAGAAGACATTTCCTTTAAAGAGAGAAGCAAGAAACCAGAAACTAAATAAGAAAGGGACTTTATAGGGCAACACTTCATGTTCAAGTTTTCCTTCTGAGACTGGTTTACAGTTCAGGGTTAAAGAACTTCCCTGACATGGTAAGGCCTTGGTTTCCATCCCTGTGACTGAGGAAGAAAAGAGGTGAAGTGACATAAGCGTGAAAAAGTGAAAGGAAGGGGAGATCCCCATACTCCACATATAGCATTGAATTTATCAGAAAATTGAAACAAACTACCCATTAGTTTCTCCACAAATTGATGATAAAAATCACTAACACTCACACAGGGCCATAGCATATGCCCAAGGAACACCTGACCACACTTGACTGACACCAAAGTACAGAAGATGACAACGGTTGCAGAAACAAATGGGTGTGGTTACCTTCCTGTCACACGTTTTGGGACTTCCAGTGGTGTTCTGCTTGAGAAAGCCAGCTGTTGTGGACCATCGGGTGGGGTTTTTCCTGGAGGGCTCCTCGGAGGAAAAGTTATTATCACTGACCGAAGTGGAGAGGCCAGTTAAAGCTGGGTCACTGCTCCGGCGGACATGAAGAGGCATATCTACACACACAAAGAGAGGATTGGACTTAGCAGACATGAACACCACAATAGGAAAGATACATTCAATCCAAAGACAAGTATTTTTTTTAATTTTGCAATTTAAGGTTTAATCGCATTTACTTATTGTGTGTCTGTATATGTTTGTGGGTGTGTGCATGACACACACATGTATTGAGGTTGGAAAAGCACTTATTCAAGTTGAGTTTCTCCTTCTACCATGCGGGATCCTTGGATGGAATTTAAATCCTTGGGCTTGGAGGCAAGCACCTTTATTTGCTGAGACATCTTGCTAGCCCAAGTAATGCTTTTACAAAGACACAGTGAGCTAGTAATCTAGCACAAATCCTATCAGGCCTTCAAATGCCCTGGCAGTGAAGGAGATGGAGGAGAGGTCCAGCTCTGGACAAAGCTGCCTGGCCTGGTATTTGGACTTCACCACTCATTCCCAACAAGCCTACTGGTCCTCTACCTCTATCTAGTCACTTGCTACTGGAACAATGATGAAATAATATCCTGCTTAGTAAGAGTACTATGGGGTTTAAATAAGAATCAGTGTCTGGCATGTGATAAATACCAAATTGAGAATAACAATCCACACTGCTCTTATTTACCACTGTGTCTAGATGAATTATCCTAAAAATTACGCAAGACACTTAACAAAACAAAGTTATTTCATCTATCTTTTAATTGTATCTATAGAACTGTAAATATAGAACTTAGACAATGCTTGGATAGTCTCCTAAAGAACTATGTGGACTACACCTCTGCTTTTCTTCAGTAAATTATTGTAAGAAAATGCAAAGCACAAAGTTGTTTCTTTAATCTTCATTGTCAACCTGAAAAGATTTAGATTCTTCTAGGAGATATCTCTGGGCACACCAATAAGGATGTGTCCAGAAGACTGAGTCGCTCTCTCTCTCTCTCCCTCTCTCTCTCTCCCTCTCTCTCTCTCTCTCTCTCTCTCTCTCTCTCTCTCTCTCTCTCTCTCTCTCTCTCTCTCTCTCTCTCTCTCTCTCTCCTCCTTCCCTCCCTCCCTCCTTCCCTCCCTCCCTCCCTCCCTCCCTCCCTCCCTCCCTCCCTCCCTCCCTCCCTCCCTCCCTCCCTCCCTCCACAATCGGCAACAAATTCAGGCCAGTGTCTGTCTATGGTATCACTGAAGCATGGTAACCACAGCAGAGGAGAAACCCAAGATAGAGGTTTTATAACTGACCTAAAAAACTCTATCAAATGCTAGGCATGGTGATACACACTCAGGAGACACAGGCAAGGGGATCTCTGTAAGTTTGAGGCCAGCCTGGTCATACTGAGTTCCATGACAACCTGGACTGTATAATGAGACCTTGGTCTAAAAAATAAACCAACAGGAAAAAAAATCCCAAACCCAAAATACATCTAACAAAACAGCCCTTCCCAGGAAGCAGAAGCTCACCTATAAAACCACAAACAAGCCACCCTCAGCAGTATCCTACTGAATATCCATGTCTACCCCCATGAAAACTTGGTAACAGCACCACAACCTGGGCAACATTACCCAAGTGAAAAATCACTCATTAGTTTAACACTGGTTGTGGTTATGTCAATTTGATAGAAGGAACTCATACATAAAAATTATAGGATTCAATTTCTGATTTTTAAGTGTGTATAAATTACCTGAGACAGTCAACATACTTAAAATTTGCAATAAAAAAAATTAAACAGAGGCTAGGGATTTAGTTCTAGTGGCAGAGTGCACTTGCCTAACACAGAAAAACGCTTCGACCCAATTCTTAGTACTACATAAACTATGAGTGGTGATACACGCCTATAATCCCAGAACCTGTGGAGCAGGAGAATCAGAAGTACAAGATCATCCTTGACCACATAAGGAATAGGAGGCTGGCCTGGGCCATATGAGACCCCATAAATATATAAATAAAACGAACAAATAAGAACTATATAGTCCCTTTGAGACAAGTGCATAAAAACACACACGAATATCCATGTGTACTGATACTATAAGTAAAGTCCTCTATCAGAAGGAAACAAAATTGTAACCTAAATTGAGAGGGCTAAACTATTCCCAAGGATTATAATGATGTCTGTTTTGAGTAATATCAGTGCTAGGGGTGTTAGTTTTCTATCACTTAAACAGGTCTTAGTACCAATCTCCCTTCCAGATTCCACTGTGTAAGTATAAATATCATACTAGCTCACAAGACAAGGTCTTTAACAGAGGCACAGCCTACAGGCTAAAGCCAGCACCCACTATCTAGCACAAAATGACAAAGAAGTATATTCCATCTCACAGCAGAAATTTGCTTACCAGCATCAAAATAGTCAGGGGCACATACTACACTCCTGATTCTATTACTGGAATCACCAGTTCTGTCTAGACATGAGCACTATGTCAACCTGTTCATTTGAAACAAAGGGAAATCACACCTTGTGACTATGCAGTATTATGAAATTTCCCTTATATTCTAAGGGATTAGAACTTTCATTGAACCTCACAGCCAAAATTAGTGACACATGGTGAGGTCACTTAAGTCTCGAGACTGCTGCCCTACTATGTACTCGTCTGCTTATCTAACCTGACTTTAAAAGAACAACCAACTTTACAGGCCTTGACTTTTCCATGTAATCAACTTTTATACCCTAAGTTAATGCATAGCTGAAATCCCAAATTATATACTTTTCCATGCCCCGGACCCATGAGTAATGCATGCATGTGTGTATGTCACAGTAATAAATGCTGAAAACAGCAAACATACTGAAAGCAACTTTATAAAATGAATATCCAACATAAACATTGAAGACTATGTGTAGCTATTGCTTGATATCATGTGTTTGTTATCTGGGTCAGGTGGAGGCAGTGACTTAATCCCTTGTAAATCGCCAGTAAAAATTCTGCAAAGTATCCCTCATTCTTCACCTCACAAGATTCCTTCTGTGCTGTTCAATAAAAGAGAGAGCACAGTCCTTTGTTAGGGACACACAAACACAGGGACAGACAACACAAGACAGCATTCAGGCAGACAGAGATTCAGACTTAGACAAGATAGGCATCAAACAAGGATAAAGAAGTAGAGAACTCAGATTCCCAAGAGGAAGTGCTATTTAATTTCTTTCCCTTTAAGCAACCCTGACACATTCAGGCACATCTGTTCAGTTTGAGTATCTGTGTCTGTAAATAAAGTTGAATTATGGAAAAGTGGGGGTTGGAGTTGGAAGCTGTCTGCCAAGTGGATGAAGAAGCACTGGGTGGTGGGCTACAGAAACTGCAATTTGAGGGGCACTCCTGGGAGACATGGATATGCAGTCCCTCCTGTGCAGCCATTAAAGCCATGTTTGTATTTTAGGGAAACTGATTCCAAGAGTCACCATAAATCCACTCTGGGTGTGATCTTTGGGCTACCATCTAAAGAGTAATCCATGTGACGCCAACAACCTCTTTTATATATATGAGCTCTGTTGCATTCAAAAAGGTAAATTTGAATAACAATCATATCCAAGCTGGTAAGAAAATTATAGAACTAAATAAAGAAGTCAGCAGTGAATTCTCACTGGAGAGACTCAAGTAACCATACAAGGTGAAAAGCTCAGGTTCCAAAGGCTTTGAGGGGGCCATAAGAGTTGGGTGATCACAACACAGAAGCAGAATTGGCTGTCTTCAAATGGAAAGACTCCAACATGATGGTGACTGAAGTACACCAGACAGAGGGAAAAACAGCACACCATCCCATTCACAGGCAGAAGCTAAGTTGCTCTTGTAGAAGTGTGTACTGTGGGCTACAAGGGCAAGGAGGGGAAATGTGTACAAAGACAATCAGATAATGGAACATTCTCTGAAACCTGATAGGACAGTGTGGCAGCTGCAATCAAGAATCATTCATTTCACATTTCAAAATGGCAAAAGGATCCCGAACAATTCCAACTCAAAGAAGTGAAGAATGTTTGAGAAGATGGAGATGCTATTTATACTGTATGCATACAAATTTATCACTACCCATGGTATATGCAGGGCAGTATCACAATGTACTCCATGAATACACACAATAACTATGAAAACAGAGACCCCAGTGTGGCTCTTCATTCACACTCACAGAAATTCAGATCCAGTACGAACCGAATATCACACACTATAATGGTGCCCACTTGGAGGTGTACTGGTTTTATTTTTTTCTTGGTTTTATAACTGCATGAAAGGCATGTTTATGCAGCTTACACAGACATAAAGGTTTAGGAATAGAATAGTAGAACTAATGACTTCCTTTACGAGGGTCTGAATGATTTAATTTTTTAATATGAGTCTGGTACCAGTCACAACAGAGAAGCTTATGACTCACTTCAGAGATTAGCTGGGCTAAAAAAAACAAAAAAACAAAAAAAAAAAACGCATGAACAGCCAACTGTGGTCAAGGATAAATGTCCTAGACAAATGTACAGGTTCTGGAGCAGGGCTCAGTGACCACACAAATCATTCAGTTATTATTGGGATATCTATCAGAGAAGGCATCTATTTCTATCTACCTATGACTGTAAATGTTGGCATCAGGCATTAAAGAGGAGAATGTTGTTGTCTTCGAAGCAGAACCATACACACTGAAAACTACATACTCACTTCAGGACTCAGACGAACAGTACACTAACTACAATCACTGATTGTAACAGCAGCACACATCTACATCGCCAAGATGATAGCACAGAGAAGAAAAGGCCTCCTTGGTTAGTAGAGGAGGAACATGCATGGGTGGTTTCATGATAAGGAACAGCACAGGTGAACAGGCTGAGGCTGGTGTGGTTCTCAAACACTCACCTTAAGACCTGATCAAGTCCAAAAAGTGAGGGTCAGGTATGGTGATCCATGCAATGAATCCTAATACAACAGGGGCAGGTTAATCTCTGTGAATATGAGGCCAGCCCGGTCTACACAGTGAGTTCCAAGTCCCAGCCAGGGTACACAGTGTAACAAAACCAATAGCAACAAAAAAGTGAATGCCTCAAGCAGCCGTGCATTTGTG